CTTGGTATTTACCCAAAAGATTTGCAAATACATCCAGAAAATAACCTTCACACAAATGTTTATGCCAGCTTTATACTTGTCAAAAATTGGAAGCAATTAAGATGTAGGTGAATATATAAGTAAGTTGTGGTGCATCTAGATAGTGGGATATTATTTAATGGTAAAATAAAAACATGAGAAGACATAAAAGAACTTGAAACAAATATTATTGAGTGATAAACCCAATGTGAAAGCCTTCATACTATATGATTCAAACTATGTGCCTCTCTAGAAAAGGTAAAACTATGGAAATAGTAAAAAGATTAGTGTTTGGTAGGGTTTTTAGATGTAAAAGGTGAAAAGATAGAGCAATGCAATTTTTAGGGTAGGAGAAATATCCTGCATGGTACTATAATTGTGGATAGATGGCTTTACACATTCATTAATGCTTATAAGATGAATGACATAAACAATGCAGCTTAATATCAACAAGGACTTTGGTTGATAATAGTATGTCAATATTAGTTCACCAGTTGTAACTAACATGCCACACAGATGAGGGATGCTTATAGTAGAGGCATCAGAGGGAGTGTGTATAGGAGAGTATATGGGACCTCTTTGTACTCTATGCTCAATTTTGTTTTGAAGCTAAAACTGCTCTAAAAAAATCTATTAATTAAAAAAATAAAAGTCAATTTAGCACTATACATTATCTCAAGGAACGTATAATAGACTGGATTTTTTGTTTGGCTTTGTTTTATTGTTCTTTTACAGAATTGTTCTTCTAACCTCATTCCCAAAACAAACACACACATATGCATCCATTCCTACACCAGCACCCCTTTGCGTATGTTGAATGCTTATCCCAGAAAAGATTATTTTTCTTTATTTGACAGATAATATTAAGAAACAATATCTTATTCAAAAATATCCTTAATTTCAGGTCTCTGGAATTTACTTCCATGCACCATAACAATAGATATGTTGATCTATAGTAGCATTCAGCTAGTTTAATAACTGAATTAATTAGAGGGTCAAACATATTTTAGATTTCATTATGGATTCATAATCCAGAAAGTTTTAGTGGTGAAATTTTTATTTAAATTCTAAAATTAAATTGATGTGATAGTTGCTTAAGATCAAGTAATGAGCATGAGCATTGATAATACATATTTGGTAAAATATTTTGTAACTACAATAAGAAAGTGATGAGTACATACTAAGGTGGAGGGGGCACCTGGAACTGTTGGAATTCACTCCAAGGCTACTTGTGAGAACATGGATAGACTCCTGGTCACCAAAGTTTCAGATTTATTTTAGGGTCTTATTATTAAATGAAAATTTTGTCATATTAATATAAGGAAATAGAAGTTTACAGAAATGTGTATGCACTAACATTTTACAAAGAAAATGTAACAGTAATGATTTTATTATATTATTTTCTGCAAACTAAAATGTGACATTTGTGGTGGCTCATAGATATAAGATTATAAGCATGCATCTCAGGCATATTTAGAAATCACAGGAATATATGCAATATGGAAAGTCGTCTCTGATGCTTTGCACTTTAACCAATTCATTCACCATTTAAAAACAATTAAAAAATTCATTAAGCTGGATTCTGCCCTTGGATACACTCAACAAAACTCCCATTGAAGTCAATAGAAATTGTGTATGCATATCCAGGGGTAGAATTTGGCCTGCTGTGTTTAATTCACTCTGATCATTCTTATTAATTCAATATTAATATTTCCGTTCATTTATTCAATTAGTTCTGTGGTATTCAAAATTCATTGTATGTAATACATTGCGATCAGTCAATCATTACAGTGCCGGTCCATTTTCTAACAATCAATATTTGGAGTTAGTCAAGGCAAAATGCACTTAAAATCCAAACAGAGAAAGAAATAGTTCCTCTGTAGTTCTATCTCCTACTTTGTAGCCTGAATTTTTGGGTCGAGCTCCTCTCTGGGTATTAGTCAGTGTGAGAGGTATTAGGAAATTGTGGGGCAGAGTTGGCCCTTAGATGAAATGCTACTTTGTGAGGTAGCCAAGTGCAGCCATCTAATAACAGCCAGATGTGAAAGACTAAACTCATGAAACACTCAACACCTAATGAGGTCAGACAATACCATTTGGCACCTGATCAAATTTGGATTATCTCTGCTCAGAGTGAAGAAATCTCCTCTGTCTTCAAGGGACAGATAAAAATGAACACAGTATGTTAACATCCAAGTATAAACATTGGATATATGAATAACTGTGTTACACCCAGGAAGTGTCATATTTCTCATGCTCCAAATTAATTAGGTATAATTTCTTTAGGCAGAAGAAACTTCTTGTATAATTTTTACATCCATCATAGGTATTCACAATATTCAAGATTGTCAGCAGTTCTGCAGAAGGCAAGTCTAGGGAAATTGACAGTTCACATTTGAGTATTCATTAAGCATTCTGAAGAGAATTATGTTCCCATTTTTGTCTTTTAACAGTTTTTGGAAGTAAAACTGAAATCCAATAAACCACGTATTTAAAATGCACAATTTGATGAGCTTTGATATATATATATATACATATATATATGTATATATATATATATATAAAGAAACTATATTCCTTCATTCCACTTAAGTTACTGAACATATCCATATCTTTCACCTCAAAAAGTTTCTTCACATCACTTTCTTACCCTTCTTTTTAGACTCTAGACTTACATCTTTTTTCAGGCAAGCACTAATCTGTTTTCTGTTGTTACAAGTTAATTTGAATTTTCTATACTTTTAAATAAAAAGAGTCTACTCTTGCATGTCTGACTTTTTTTCACTCATCAAAAATATCTTGAGATTTACCTGTGCTGTTGCATGTATCAATAGTTCATGCTTTATTGTTCAGTAGCAGTCCATTCTAAGAATATATAATAATTTGTTTACATATTCCTCTATTGGTAGCCATTTGGCTTGTTTCCAGTTTGAAGCTATTATAAGTAAAGCTGCTATGAACATTTGAATACCAATGCTTACATGGATATATCTTTATTTTTCCACTTCAGGAAATGAGTAGAATAGTTCGATAAAATGTCCAAACATGTTTAACTTTTAAAATAACTGTGAGATAGTTTTAAAAGTGAGGTGCCAGCTTACATTTATATTCCTATTGGTAGTGTATGAGAGTTCTAGTTCCTCCAAATTCTTATCAACACTTGATATGGTCAGGCTTTCTAATTTTAGTCATGCTCATAGGTGAGTAGCAATAACTATTGCTGCTTTATTTTGCATTTCTTTAATTACTATGTTGAAAAAAGTTACAAAGAGCCTATTTATCATTTATTGATCAACTTTGATGAAGTGTCCAAAACTTTTTCCATTTTTAATTGGGTAGCTTGTTTTCTTAGTGCTGAACTTTGAAACTTACCAACATATTCTGAATAATAGTCCATCAAATATAAGTTTGGCACATATTTTTTGTCAGTCTGAAGATTCCCTTAATATTTAAACACTGTCTGTTAATGAGAAAGACTTTTTATTTTTGATGACAGCCGATTGTTTTCTAATTTATATATTCAGAATCATGCTATTATTGGTATATTTAAAGTTATTATCTAATCAAATGTCACATAGATTTTCTTCTAGAAATTTTATACTTTATATTTAGATAATTTTTGTATAATTCAAGATAAGGATAGATTTTTAATACTAATACTCAAATTTCTAGCAACATTTATTGAATAATCTTTCCCCTTGAATTATCTTTGCATTTTTGTAAAAAATAAATCATTCATATATGTGGATTTCCTTTTGGCCTCACTAGTCTGTTGCATTGATCTCCTGGTCTATCTTTATGACAATAGGATTCTATCTGCTTACTGTGACACTACTCTGAGCTTGAAATTAGGTCATGTTTGCTGTCAATTTTGTCATCCTTTTATAATGCTCTTTTGGTTATTCTAGGTCCTTTAAATTTCTATATGATTATTAGGGTCAACTTGTAAATTTCCACAGAAAATTTCCTGTGACTTTACTTGAAATACATTAAATGTATATGTAATTCTGGAGAAAATAGGTATCTTAAAAATATTGACTTCTTTAAACTATTGAATATGTTATTATTCTCTATTTAAGTCTTATTTAATTTCTTTTTTCTTATTTAATTTTTTTCAGTAATATTTTATAGCTTCTGCACAAATGATTATGTCATGTGAAACTAATGAGAATTTTAGTCCTTTGTTTCTAATTTGAATGACTCCCATCCCTTGGTTTATTGAGTTGCTTACAAATTCCACTGCATTATAGAAGTGGGGAAAAATTTTTTTTGTCTTTTTCCTGACCTAAGGTTAAACATCTTCATTCTTTCACCTAAATATAATATTAGCTGTACTTTTTCTCTTGATGCACTTTTTTTTTAAGGCTTTGGAAACTGCGATTCGAGTTTGCTAAGATTTTCTTAAAATCAGGAATTAATGTGAAATTTTGCCAGATGCTTTTTTGCGTGTGTGTCTATTAAGATAATATTTGGTACAGTTACACTAGTGAAGTTATCTGGAAGGGAAGGGGTTTGGGGAAATGTTTTAAAATAAAAAGTTCAATTTATTTGATAGAAAAAATGCTATTCATATGATCTCACTTAAGTGATCTCTTGAGAGATTTTGATGTTTTTTGTCTTTCAAAGAATTTCTTGATTTCATTTTACTTTGTTGAATTTACTGGCACCAAGTTGTTGACTACTTCTCTCACTCTTCCTATTGGTGATAGGAGTTTTTTTGCTCTTTTTTTACCAATAAATTTAGATAACTGTTTATCAATTTTGTTGATTTTTCTTAAAGAAAAAGCTTTTGGTTTTATTGAGTTTTTTATATAGTTTTCCTGCTTTTTCATTAGTTTCTACTGTAATATTTATTATTTTGCTTTTATAATTACTTTTGATTCAATTTGTTCTCCTTCTCCTAGTATTTTACAGTAAAACCGAAGTATTGACTTGAGATCTTTCCTTATTAATTTTTAAAATTTTATTGCAATTGAAATTAGTGTGTCTGGCCATGCTGCTCCACAGCCAAACCCAGAGCAAGGGCTGCTTCTGCTTCTCTGCCTCGTCTTTGTTCATGATGACCAAGGTATGAAGGGATCTGTTTCATTGAACTTTAATTTCTCACTACCTTCATTATTTTTATTATTGTTATTATTTTGATCTTCACAGATTTGGCATCCCTTTGCCTAGCTGTGAGGAGAAATTCAAGGATGGCCCAAATTGTTGAAGGTATGGTAATGAGGCACATACAGAGTTCATGGACTGAGAAAATGAATGGAACAGAAGATCTTTTTAGTTTTTAAAACAGTAGTTCAATGTTACACATTTTCCTACTGGTTGTGATTTGTCCTGCCTAAGGGGCATCCCACAATTTTTGATATGTTGTTTTTATTTTCATTTATTTCAAATGGTTTTGAAATTTCCCTACTGATTTGCTTTTCTTATGCCGTTTATTTCAAATGTAATTTCATTTTAGTTAGGAAACATGCTTCTATAGGTGCTGCCAAAGTGAGCAAAAAACACACTTATTTTGAATTTTAAATATATTGAGTCTTATTTTATTGACTAAAATGATGAAATCTTGTTTATTCTCTGGAATTTTTAAAGCAATTTATAATCTACTATTGTTGAATGGAATGTTCAAAGAAGAAATGTTATTTACATCAAATGTTTGATGATATTTTTCAGTTTTTCTATGTCCTCGTTGATTATCAATCTGTTCTATAATTATTGAGTGACATTGAAGTCTGTGACTACAGTTCAATATTGAATAGCACAGAAATAAATACACACACACACACACACACACACATGCACACAAAGCAACCAACCAAAAAATTCCAGAAACCTCTGATTATAATGAGTAATTTATTTGAAATCTCTGACTGTAATGATGAATGTATTTTTGCTTGTGACTCTATCAGTTTCTGTTTCATGTATTTTGAAATTTTGTTATTAATATCACTGAAGCTTAAGATTATCACATTTCCCTATTGAATTGATGTCATATATGGTCAGTACAAAATGACCAGATTTCCCTGTTTCATTATTTACTCTAAAATAACTTACTACCAAATTAATACAGTAACTCCATCCTTCCTGAGACTATGTTAGTATGGTGAACATTTGTCCATTTTACTTTACCATATTGTTCTCTTTATATTTAGTGTATATTTCTATAGCCAGTTTATACTTAAATCTTGCTTTTTGATGCAATCATAATCTCTATCATTTAATTGGGTCTTTTAGATTATTTTGTGATTATAGGTATTATTAGGTTTAATCCTATTATCTGCTATTTGCTGTTTTTTATTTTCTTTTTCTTTCATTTTCTGTCTTATTTTGGATTGCATATATTCATTCAGTGATACCATTTCATGAAATGTTTTGACTTTTGGCTTATTAAAAATGACTTTGTCTTATTATTTTAATGGTTATGTTATGGTTTACAATATATATCTTCAACTTATTACATCACTATATAAGAGTATGAGTATGACTATAGTATACTTCTACCATTCTCCTCCTAGACATAAGCTATTGGTGTTTTAAATTTTATCTAAACATATGCTATGAACCCTTCAAAGTGTTTTTTTATTTAAACAGTTCATTACATTTTAAGATTTAATACTAAAATTTTGTTTGCCCCTACATTTGTGTTTTCCTGTGATCTTCATTTATTTACCTGGATCAATATTTTTATCTGTTAATATTAATCCTGAAATATTTCCTAACATTTCTCATATTATAAGCTTGCTGGGAAGAAATTCTGTCAACCTTTGCATTGCATAAAAGTTTTTAGTTTACTTTTATTTTTGGAAGATGCTTTCTTTGGTTGTAGAATTCTAATTTGAGAGATTTATTCATTTAGTATGTTGAAAATGACACCTTTTTGTTTTCCTGCTTTCGTTGGTTTGACAAGAAATCTGGTACATCCTTTATCATCCTTCACTCTCTATATAGTAACAGTTTTTAGGAAAAAAGAAAACAATCTGGGTGTTTTTGACAGTTTCTCTTTGTCAGATCGTCTTTTTATTTAAATATTTTCTTTCTTAGGCTTCTTACTCTCAGCTAGCTGGGCACTCCCCAGTACCGGTGTTGATGTCGTCTATGATACCATGAGGGTGCCGACCATCGACACTGCAGACCACACACTGGGGGGTCCCCAGGATCTCTTTAATGGTTGCAGAAAGTTCTCTGGCTAATGACTGGTGCCGCATCTGTCGGGCAATGTTGACAATCTCATCAAAAGTGATATTTCCACTGTACTGAATGTTTTCCTGCTTCTTTCTGTCTCTTGGTGGCTCCTGGAGGGCTTTGATGATCAGGGCAGAAGCAGAAGGCACCACCTCAATCTGGGGCTGTCTGCTCTGAATCGTCAGCTTCACGGTAATCCTCAGACCCTTCCAGTCGCCAGCTGCCTTGGTGATATCATCGCCCACCTTTTTCGGAGACAGACCCAGTGGGCCGATCTTTGGGGCCAGGGCAGACGTAGGGCAGACGTAGCGCCGACTTCGCCACCGGTGCACCTCAGATACAAGACTTTGATCTAGTCGGGGTCGAATTTGGGCGGCATGGTGGAGGCGGCTGGTGTGGGATGAGCCCGGATTGGGATGACCGAAGGAAGTTGCACCATAGCCTCCTCCTAGCCGAAAGCCGAAAGCGACAGTTTCTCTTTATCTCAGTAGTGTGGGTGGTTACAATGTCACCTGGGGTGGTTTGCTTTAAAGTTTCTTGTGCTTGAAGTTGGTCTCCTATCTGTAGATTCCAGTTTTGTCTGTAGGATCTGCAGATTGTAATTACAGTTTTCATCAAATTTGGAAACTTTATAGGTATCATTTGTTTGAATTATTTTTCTGTATATCCATTCTCTTTCATTTCCTTCAGATACTCTAATTACAATTATATTAGGCTATTCGACCTGGGTCCACAGCTCCCCAATTTGATTTTCATTTTCTAAAAATATTTTTCTCTATATTTTATTCCTTTTTGACTCTTATATCTTCAAGTTTACTAGGTTTTTTTTTTTCTTTTGAAACATCTTATTTGCCTTTTACTCTAGTCAATTGAATTTTCCCAGGACATCATAGATTTTAACTTATAAGTTTGACTTTAAATTTTAAAATTTTGTATCACTTTATTTATATTTTATAGTACAATTATATACACTCTATTAATGTCCTTATCTGTTGATTTTGATATACGTGGAAGGTCTAGGTTCATTATTTTTACTTCAACTCTCATCATAGGGCGTATTTTCCTGCTTCTTGGCAAGCCTGAGAATATTTAGATGCCAGGCATTATGGATTTCATTTTATTGGATGTAAACTTTTCTAGTGTTTCTACAAATATTTTAGACCTTAATTCTAGACCATAGTGAAATCATATGAATATAATTTGCTTCTTTTGGATCTTCCTTTTCAGATTAGTCAGTTAGGACTGGAGCAGTGTTAGTCTAGAACTCATTATTTTCCACTACTCAGACAAAATCCTGAGCTCAGTACGTTACTGAGTGTTAATCGAGAGTGTGGTCAAAGGGCTAGAAAGCTGATCTTGCTGGTGGGGATAGCCACTACTAGTGCTGTCTCTGAGTGCTCACTCAGGATGGTTACCTCTAACACTTTTGATCCGCCTGTCCTTGTCTTGGACAGTTTTTTCAATGAACAATACTTAGCTTAATATTACAAGAGAAATGTTCAGACTTCTGGCCTTTTTCCCTCTTGGTACTTCACTCTTGTTTGATACTCTGTTCTTCACATTCTAGTCATCTTGGTGGCCTCTCCCAGGACAATTCTGTGGAAACACTCTCCAGTCAACTATCCAGCGCAGCTGTGGAGCTCATTTCATTTCCCCCTACCTTTCAGAGATTACCGTGCTTGATCACCCAATCCCAGGGTACTGAAAACTATTGCTTCATATATTTAGTTCACTCTTTGTTTCAGCTGTAAAAATAAGGGTAGTTACTTTTACTTGGTCAGAAGTGGAAGTCTTATTGAACCACTTAGTCATTATTTTCAGTCTCATGATAGCATCATTTGTAACTCAGGGCATAGGAAAGAGTAAGTCATAGTTGTCTTACATGGTGAGCTAACAATTTTCACAACATGAAGAACAAGAAGAAATAGCAGTTATGATGAGGACTAAATGTGGATCAAAGGCATCAGTTTCTGCAGAATGAGTCAGGGTTTAAAATAATTTAATTGAATGAAATAAATTCTAGTATGAATTCCATGAGAGAGTTCTTGTGACTTTTTTCCTTTGTGTAACTGAGTAACTTTGCATACTAATTATCCCACAGTATCTTAGTAAAGTGGAGCCTAGTAATTAGCTTAGTCATTTTAGCCTTCTCTTTGGTGATGATACTGTTTACCTCTATGGAATGAGCAAATTATTCAAATGATTATAAAGGCCATTGAATGTCTGCAACAGTCCTTTTCCCATTGACTTTAAAGAAAAGAAAATTCAAACACTAAACACAGTTACAGTTTATTCTTCTAGCCCCAGGAACATTTAATTAATTTTTTTATTATTTCATTTTTAGAGATAAATAAAATGATTGTTTGGCTCATTTAAAGTATCCTTTTCCTCTTCCCATATCCCGAAATTACATAAAGTTTTCCATTCTGAATCCAGTGATTTAAACAACTGTTGTGATTTCATAAATGGAAGCTTTTGTCTACAGGTGGGGATTAATTTGCAAGGGCAGGAAAACTGTTGAAAACAAAAAGCTAGTGTCCAAGTGAATATCTCTTGAGAAATTAGGAAATACAAACTACATTGCCTGAGAAAAATTGTTACTGATTATAATGGTTTAAAGAATTCCAGGTGGTCTGCGTGGGTCATAATGCTAGTATTTCATCTTGAAATAATCTTAATTATTTCCAGTTTTAATAAGCGAACTATTTCTTTTCCTGTAAAAGGCTAGGAAGTTTATTCACAATTTTTTTAAGTCTGTAGCTAGCTACACAAAGCAAAATGAATTATGAAGGAGTGATCTATTGGAAGAATATTCCTTTTGTACAAAATATAGAGATAAATAGGTTAAGAGAATTTTTGAGGTGACAGTGAATATAGAATGCTTTAATTAGCTGGGACAAGGCCTCATTTACCATTTCATTTTCCACATGCAGATATAGCTTATGCATCTACAGGTTGAGACTTCAGTTTAATTCAAGCTTTCTTTCTTTTTTCTTTGTCTTGTTGTTGAGGGGGAGAGATTAAAGTCTTTG